TTTAGACTTTATCAGAAAATGGTGTAATAATAAAGATTAAAGAATTGGGTAATCTATTTAATTTTTTTTTAATGTAGTTACAGTAGTGACTGTAACAAAAAAATCTAACAAGGATGTGCAAATGTTTAGTGTAATAATCATGTATCTATAAATAGAAGTGCCATAAATATGATTCCTGGGAATATTGTTTGGCGTTGGTAGTTACGAAATGCTTTTTTTGGGGTTACTCCAAGCCACTGTTCTTTGACTTAAAGATAAAATAATTCTGGCAAAGCACTAAAGAAGTTCCACGTTTTCCCTCATTAAGACTAGTGCTAATGGCATGCAGAACATTTCCCCTAAGGATACTCGTATGAGCTCAAATGCTGAGTATAGTACTAATAATTGAACAATAACAAAAATGATGGCTGTTCTCTACACATTTCTTAAAGTACAGATTGTCCCAAGGGATAATTAAACAAGCAAACAAAGATATACTGAAATAACTAGTTAAAAAACAAAGGCAGGCCAACTTTTGCACATTGTTATTGTTATCTTTTTGTGGTTACTTTTGAAGTAGGTCTGTAATAAAAGATCTGTCTTTCCTACTATGTAAAGGATACATATCCTTTGGAATATATGAATAATTTGCCTTTAAAACTGCAATAGTGGCAGGAAAACATAAGAGTTATTTTGTACACTAGTTACTTTTGTTATTTTAATAGAGTTACACTGGTTGAAAAGGAAATTTTATTCAACAAAGGGAATTCCCATATAGTTCAATTCAGCGTCTTACATTAAAATAAGAAACCCAACTCTTCCGTAATGTAATGAGCCTCTATCATGAAACATGTGAATAAAAATGTGAAGATGACTGTTCTTTGAGTTGAATTCTGCTTTTGCTTATTCAGTGCTTGTTTATTTGGAAGTAAATCCTACGAAATTCAATAGAAAATCTGTTGTATAGTAAGTATGCATATGATTTTACCTCTGTAGCCTTATATAAGTCTTCCATAATCCATATACTGTAGCACCATTTCCATTTCTATGTACTACAAAGTACAAGAAAAACATAGTCTAGAATTTGACACAGGAAAAACAACAGAGGGAACTTGCTGATATAATTGAGCAGGAAATTGGTATCTGTGTTTGAATTATAGAAGGACATAAAAATGAGATTTTGTCAAGGTTTCATGAAAAACAGGTTTTGATAGAAATCTGAATGATGTAAGAGAAGTGGTGCCATACAGGTGCTTTGGGAAGCAGCTCTAAGCATACAGTATGAGCAGAAAAGGAGAAGGGGCAGAAGACCTTTGGAAGGTGTGTTGTGGAGCTGAAGAAGTAGAGATCTAGGCAAGGATGTATTATGATAGAAGAGAAAAAGGTGGGTGGCTTTTGAAAGTAAGCACTATCATGTCACAAAGAGATTTATGGAGGGGTATACTATGTGACAGCAGAATGACAGCCCAGACTGGATTAAGATCAGAGAATAGAGAAGAAATTCATTCTTTGAATTATGCGCAATTATCATCTTTTGAGGATTTTGTGGTGGCTGTGATGAACATATGGCAGGTGAGTCTGGATCTTTTTCTAAAAAAACAAATCATGATACAAGTTGCTTACATTCCTGTGAATAGACCAGGCATAGTAATATGATTGGGTTTCTTTCTCATTGACTTCTTTGCCTCTCCTAAAGTAGATGGATTTAATAAGTAAATCTTCACTAATGTTATATATACAGTATGTACATATTATAATGTGACCCTTCTAGGTAGCTTGTAGATGAGATTCAAGTTACTAAATAATTTGCCCTTACCAATAAAATCAAGTGGTGATTACTTTTATAGGAAAAGAAAATTTTAAAAAATGCTTTCCTAATCAAGAGGAATACTTTTTGTGTTATACTTCAGTAGAACTTGTGGCAAAAATAACTTGTCCTTCTAAGAAGCTTACAGCAGTTAATTTTACAAATTTAAATTAGGCTGAAAAAGAATGGTTTGTGCAAACTAAGCACCAACTTTGAAGTGCAAGTAATAATTTGAGCTTTGTTTCTTGCATTCAAACATTGCGAGCACAGTTCCATGTTAAAATAGAAGAAGAAATATTTAATGGCAAGGAAAACCTGTCAGTATTAACAATAGAACAAGGTTGCTAAAAAACCTCTGGATTACTTATTCTTCAGTATCTTATCAGAGTGGCAGTGGATTGACAAATGAATGCATTCCCAATTCTGATGTTCTAATAAGCTTTACAAAATTAGTGTCATATCTTTTTACCCTTTCCTGCTAATTTTCTTTCTTTAACTTTCTGAAAGCTGAAGAGAATAGGGCCAAGCTGCAAAACAACGATCAAGTTCTAAACAGGCCAGATTGGGGCAGGGACTGTGGGAAAAAAATCCAGAAAAAAATTCCCCAATGTATCCTTTTGGGACAGAGAGTTGGACACCTGCTCAGAATGTTCCTGAAGGGTTTGTTCTAAGGAACTCTCCCCCTCCTGGTCACATGACCCAGAGCAGAGCTACTATTAAGGGATGGAAAAAATTCCAGAAATCTGTTTTGCATGCTTTCCCTGCCTTGTTCTTTCCAACCTGGCGTAATATTGGAAACTGTAATCTGGATCAAGACTCTGCCTCTGGTCCTAGCATCTAGATAATTCTCTGAAAACTGGACAGAACAGGACCAAATTTGGGGTGCGGGAGAAGCTGGCAAAAGAAAGGTTGAGTTTGAAAAGGAGCTGAATCTGGCCAGGGGTTACAGAGCAAAACATTCCAGAAAAGAATGGTGGAGCCCTACGGGAGACACAGTTGGGCAGCAGACTGGAATGCTGCCAGCTGTTCCATCCTAAGTTCTACCCCCAACTCCACCCAGTCATGTGACCAGAAGATAGTATATGCAGCCTACTCAGTGTTTTCCAGTGCACACATACAGAAACAAACACAAAGATGTAACACTTTACTCTGTTATGCAGAAGAACATATAGATGCTTCCTATGACCACTTCTGAAAAGGCACTGGAAAGAATTCTAGAAGTCATACTCTGCATGCTTTCCTTATTTGTATACTAATTTTGTATTAAAAATAGATATGAGAGGTAAAAGAAAAAACCGTTGGGCAGTATAAATGTAACACATGTTAACACTTTGATTCAGTGTATCTGAAAGGATCTCCATTCTAAAACAGCATTTCTCCTTGCTGAGGAGGCGTTGGGAGATGCAATCATGGATTTTTAATTAGGTTCTCAACGTTTAGTCAGCAAATACAAACTATACATAAGTAGCCTTATAAACTACTCTTCCCAGCAGTGAGATTCTTAAGTAATTTTTTTCTTGGAAGCAACCCAAAACTAAGAGCAGGAAGATGTTGGATAAAATAGTGAAGTGGGATAGGGATTTTTTTTTTCACCTTGGGGATTATTTGTGAAAGTAACGGATGTCCTTCCATTAAAGCTATAATATATTTAAACATCCTTTTACCTGCTTAGCAAAAACACCTTATGTCAAGGTCTTGGGTCATTTTAAATGGCATTCCAAGCTGCTTTTTGTGGAGAACTTCTGAAATGCACGTATTCAATGTGAAACATTTAGTGTAATGAGGAGAATACTGTTAAATAATTCTCAGTGTAATCTAGGACTGCTCTGTGTGGAATATGGACAGTCTGTTTAACTGTGGGCACAGCTCATTACACTCATGCGACACTACTACTCCGTGAGTTGTACTGGCTTCCAGTAGGTTTCTGGGTGTGATGCAAGGTGCTGGTTACCACCTTCAGTGCTCTGCCTGGCATCGGATCTGCTCCTCCCCAGGGGGAAGGCATGTTCCCTCATTTAAACATTCCTATCTTATGGGACCTAGGAAGCTTGCCTTTTCGGTGGCTGCTCCTGTGCTCTGAAATAATCACCCTCCTCCCACCTGATATACAACAGGGCCCAACCTTGCTGGCCCTTAAAAACCAGGAGTTGGGGTCTAGTTGAGTGGAGTCCCCTTTTTATTGTTTTAAATTATCCTGTTCATTTTGCTGTTTTATATATTGGACTTTTTAAAAAAATGATGTATGGTTAGTTCTTTTTTGCTAATACTTATTTTTGTTGTACACTGCCCAGTCACATTGATTGATTGATTGATTGTCTTTGTCTCTCTCTCTCTCCCCCCCCCCCCCCCCCC